AGGGTTGTGTGGGTGCTTGTCAGCAGGGCTCTGGCCTAGGCACCGGGTCAAGGCACCCACTGGCCCCTGGTGCTGCTCTAGCACCCGGGTGTCCTGAACGCTGGTTTCTTCCCTCAGCAAAATCACTTGATCTGTAGCAGAGAAAAACAAATTGGAGCACACACTGCATTGTAGAGATCTGAAATATTTATATTCTTTGCTATTACATAGTGTCATATATAATTTTAGTTTTTTATGTAGTGTAGATCATCTTTCTAATGTCACTTCTTTGCTCATGACAGATACAGTGTTTGTAACTAAAAGGTTAATACAAGAGTCATTTGTTTTTGAACTTTCTCGTTTTGTATCTGTTGAGCTTCATGCTGGTATAAATATATAGTACTCATCCAAATATTAATTTAATATGGGACAATTATTGCTCTTTTGTGCAAAAAGCCTCTTGATATATTATTGTCATCCTGAAGTCACTTTCTGTGGTGATATCTCTTACTCATTTAGTTGTTTTACCTCCTTTTTCTTTCTGACTTTTTAAGTAGACAAAGGTAGTTTACAAATTATGACATTTTTATCTATTTCTATTCCATATTTCATAGCTCATTTCTTTTTCTTATCTCATTGCACTGTCAAGGACCACAGAACCACAGTGGCAATGACACATTCTTGTCTTGTTTCAGATTTTAATGGTAGATGTTTCATCAGCAAGGTTGATGTTTCCTGTAGGTCTGTGAATAAGTAATATGTCATATATTTATATAATAGAATTTGTAAAACTGTAAAAATGAACAAAACAGATCCCAATATATATCAGTCCAGTCAATTCTCAGAAATGTACTGTTGCATGAAATAAGCAATTTGTACAGAGATGCAATATATCATTTATGTAATTTTATACATATAAAAGTGCTATATATTATCTAGATACATATATATAACAAAATTAAAAACAGATACTGAAAGACAGACATCATTTTTTAAACATCAATTGCTTCTAGGAAGGGATGGAGGAATATGTGTCTAATATATGTAACTTAATTTTATCTATTAATAAAAAGATTATCAACATAACACAGAATGTTAACATTTATTATTACTTATGGATGATTATGGATGATTAATACATCCATTCTCATTTTTTCTGTGTTTTTCTTTTATTAATTAAAAAGACACTAGCGTTTTGTCACCCAGATAATCAATAAAACATGACCCTTATTTATCCAATGGACTGAGTGGAAGGTTATCATCGGCATTGTGGTTAGCAAGGTAATATACATTTAAGGATGAGTGAACCCATACTTTCAAAACATATACTGTGGTGTTTCAAACCAATCCTACCTCAGTAAAAAGAATACCCTCACCTAATCCTCTAGAAATTTCATGATAAGGATTAAAAGCAGATGTCAAACTTTGTAAAGAGAATGCAATCTACAAATCAGGCTGACATTAGGCTTCTTATTCATAATACTGTATGCTAAAAGTCAGCATATAAATATCATCTTCACATTCTTTAAAAATGTGCTTTTACTATCTCTAAACATACTATCAAATAGGTATGTATTTAGTGACAATACAGATGTTGTCAGGACTCAAAGTCCTGAAAGTTTGTCTTGTTGATTTTCTTTTAGTATGTTATTTCAGCATGTACTCCCGAATAGTGATATAGCAACCAATTCAGAGGCAAATATGGAATCATGGAAATGGTTTTACCTTTGGAAAGCAATAAAATGACTTTTAAACAAATATTTAAAAAATCTATTTATGCATACAGGAACTGGGGTACAGAGGTGGGGGGGAGGGGATTCACCAGAGACAGAGAGGGGAGCAGAACAGGCAGATCAACTGAAATATACTGCTGAGGGAAGACTGGAGAGGTTTGCTGGGCCTTGTGAGTTAGCTACCTGGCCGGGGGAATGGGGGTGTGGAGGGTGGGGAGGTTAGAACTCATCCTGCAGTAGTTGTTGGTAGCTTGATAATGCTGAGACTTTAATCCCTTTGCCACCATGGAGACCCAATAAAGATGAGTTTTAAAGTGACAGCTAAACTGCATATCCTGATTAACCAGACCAAAATGGAGCAAGATGTCAGAGGATTTGTGGTAAGGGGTGAAGTCCTGATCCAAAAGGTGCTTGA